CTGAAGTGGGTTTTAAGTATTAACTTATAAAATTTAACATTCAAAACCTGGAGAGCAACTGTGCTCCTGAATATTTTGGTACCGTGTTACCATGCCAATGGTACATTGCATTTCTCTATTTTTTCACTTAAATGGAGCTCAACTGTCTAATAACTCCCATCTTTTATGTTCTTTTAACTTTCCAGGGGAACACATTGTGCCACTGTAACAGAGATAAGTGATGTAAACTATTATACTTTTCAACAACTCAAACAATTTGCCAGAATAAAGACCAAATTCAGAACTATTCAGAGAGTATTTGACAAAGACAAACTGCAGGACTGCAGTATTTACAACCTCTGGAGAGCTCCCAGTAACTCGAGACAGTGTGGAATATACAATTTTCAGTGAAGTGATATATAATACACTTAAGCACTGTAGACAACATGTGAAATATTTCATAAATAGCTTTTACAACTGCTATTGTGTGATGAGCTGGCAGCTTTTCTTGCCGTACAGTGTCCTGCCATACTGTTGCTGACACTTAATCCCCATTTATTAAAAATACAGTTTCTGCTTTAAAATAGACTTTAAAGCATGAAATTAAAAAGAAATTAACATTTTTACTTTGCTTGTAGAGCTATTCCATTTAAATGCTTTTAACCTTTTTTCGTCATTAGTCACGAAACTAGAAATGCACTTCAGTCATGGAGATGGAAGCTGAGATTCTCCAGATGTTGGCAATTTCAGCTTTAAGTTAAATACCAGGAACTAGAAAATGACAGCACATAGAGAACAATCTGAGGTGCCAAGATAATATTTACTTTACTAGCTTTCGTTGCACAAATAAAAGATCTGCTTAGCAGACTTACAAAGTATCTCCCAATTTTCAGTTTAGCTGCAGGTCTCTGGAATAAAAAGTTAAACAGGTTAAAGTGTTTAAAAAATGCATCACTTCCTCCCGCCTTTGCCTTGCTTCTGTGAACACATACTGTTGCTTAGGCAGGCTGGAGAGGGTATAAGGTGACAGAGGAGTTAAAAGGTTGTGATCTGTAGGCAAGGTATATTGATCACACCACTTCTGAGGGGGACACCCTTACAAAGGTGTCATTGGATCCATAAAGTGCAAGGTGGGAGATAATCAGGAGAGTAACCAATGTACACACTGTGATGTTGCTTAAGAGATTTCAGGATTTCTATGTAAATCTGGTGAAATGCTGTGTCCATCTCAGCTAAAGCAGCTTGTAATAGCTTAGCTTCTCTTGTATCAAAACAAAAGTTTGAATTATAAACCTAGTAAGTCTTGAGGCAAGACAGAAAATTGCACAGAAAGAGCCTTCTTAAGACCATATCTGAAGCAGAAGGTAGAGGTGGCCAAGAGTTGGAGCCCAGCAGTGCAGATGGGAGGAGATTCTGTCCAGAACTTTCCTAAGTGAGCACAGAAAGCCTGACAGGGGTGCAATGAAACAGTGATAATCAGTCTGCTGCACCACTGAGCTACTGCAGGCCCATTTCCATGAAGCCCAGCACAGCACACTCAGGCTCTCTGAAATCAGACACCTAAAGATGGGTTGATTCTTGCTCTCACATTCTGTATACTTAGTCCAGGTGCTTGAAATTTTATCTGAATTTAAACACCCCAGAAAGAGGATGCCAACAGTTAGACACTGTAGAGTCTTCCTCCCACTGCAAAGCTGCCAGAAGCTTCTTCAAGGATTAACACACAAGCTTGGTTCTGAAGGACAACCTGTGCCACTACTTAAAGACATAAACAAGCCAGAGCACACAGAAAGCCAGGAAAAAGCTCTCACAAATGTCTAGCCTGAAGCACTGATGTAAACAGCTCAAGCTGCTGATGTCTGAAACTTCACCGGGGTCACAGGGCATAAAAAGAGATGTTAGTTGCAGGTACCTCAGGATAAATTCACTCGCTCTAGAGACAACAGAGTATCCAGGTATGCTGCTAGTGCTGAGAGGTTTGGCAGAGAGCTTAGAAGAGGTATGAGACTGTACCTAGGTTTCCAGGCTCTCCTGAAATTATTTATTCTCCTAAACATTATTGGCCAAACTACAATCCAGGAATTATTTGTCATTCCTTATGTCTCCAGGTGCTAAGCCTAGGAGTAGGGTCATTTGGTGATGCTAAAGACACAGACCCCTGCACAACACTTCTCTGCATGTTTCACACCAGAGTTTGATGCCTTTACAACAGGAAACAAGCCAGAGCAAAGAACATGCTTTTCCTCTGCTCTGAGCATAAGTTAACCACCCCTTCCCCACATTTATGTGTTAAAAGAAGAAAATGAAGCAGTAAGTACAAGTTGCTACTGGCTGAATAGCTTCCTGTTTGCACCTTGTACTTTCCACTGAAAATTGCCACTTGAAAAATTAAGAGAAGGAAAAGAGCTTTTCAAAGATTGTGTTTTTTCACATGTGACAGGATAGCTCTTCCTAAGCCTGTACTTAACCTGAAATTGTGTTTTAGCAAGATAAGCCCAGCAGATGATTAACAAATGCTGCTTTCATCCTGAATTACTCAGAAGCTCTGCGGAGGTCATATTAGCACCAAATGAGATGGTTTTAATCAGGGGTATAACAGCAAACACAGATTAGTTCAAATTAATGTAAAATTAAGTGGTCATCAGGGATGCTGATTTAAGCCCCTTGGAAGATAATAGAACACAACTTCAAACTCCTTCTTTCTAGCACATAAAGAAGAAAGGTGTCCCTGAAGAAAGAAAAGGTATCCTTAACATATGCAGTGAGAAAGGTCAGAATTTAGGGCACATCTAGTAGTACCTTGCTAAGTTTAAAAGTTTCAAGTAATATGACTTAATAAAGGCTCGTTTTCTATTTCCAGGTCTGGTTCCTGCCCTGTGGACTTCTGTCCAGCCTGAGAAGTTCATTCTGCTCCCATGCTACTGCCTTCAAGGCTCTCAGATTTCAGCACTGCTATTCTACTCCTCCAAACGCTGTTTCAGCACAGGACAGTTTACTGCAAAAGCCTGGATTAACAGAGTTATAATTTCACTTGCAATGCTGCATGTCTAGAGTAACTCTGCCAGAGATAGATTTTCACCAGTGTAATACAGAGCAAAGTCTGGTTTTCTAGAAAGGAAGGGAAGCAGCTTTATTTCTGCACAGGAGATGTAACAGCTGGGGAACCCTTCCCCTTGAGATGGTTTACATCAGGATAAACCTACAAGACAGGGGATATGGGAAAAAGGAGAAGTGAAACCAGATTGAAGGCTAAAGGCTTAAGGACTTGGTGTTTACTTCAAGAAGATTCAAGAAATGCAGCTCAGATTTGCTATATATACCATCCTTGCTGGGGTCAAACAAACCCTTTGTGTGCACAGCCTGGTAAAAAATTAGTTGTCATAACTTTAGACCATATAAAAGTGAGTATGCAATAGGAATGTTCTCTCATTCTGCTTTTGCGAATTTCCAGTATTTTTAGAATAAGAATATTTTTGCACTTACCTGCAAGCAGTTTTGAGGTTTGAATGAAGCATAGTGCCCTCTGAATATAAACAATATAAACATAAGGTTACTAAAAGTTTCTTAAATTTCTCTCAAGCATATTGGAGATTTGTTGCGCAAAATAATGTAAAAATTATTCTAAACAACATTTCAGATCTAAACTCCTGAGACAGACACTGATATAGGAATTAGGAATAATATTTCTAAAAAAATACAGTTGGAAGAAAACAGCCATTCACATCTGCAAAACACTGCTCCAGATCTTTTTTTGAATCCGTATTTTAGTCGTTGTAACCTAATGGCTGCACACTGGGGACAAAATTGCTCTTAGGCCACCTCCAAATGAAATGGTCAGAAACGTTTCACAGTGGTTTTTGGATACAGTCTCAAAGTAAACTTACATAATCATTACAAATAAATGCACTGGAGACTGAATTACCACTGCTCCCTAAACCTGAAAGAACAACAGGACTATACCTACTCTCTAGAATATCTCTTTCTTGTCCTAAATTAACCCAAATCTGTCTTTTAAATGTTGCACCATATCTTGTATTTTCATATAATAAATATTGATTAAAAACTTCCAGGCAAAATTTAAAAAGTTCTGGTTTTCATAGCTGTAGGACACCCATTAATGCAGAAAAGGAATTCAGTTCCCTGGAGAACTGCAAAGATGTGCTGCCAGTAATGACAATGAGAACATGATGCAGATCAGCAGATAAATCATACTTCAGAAAATTCATATCCTTCACCGATTTCAGTAATTGCTTTTTTGCTGTACCCGTTTAACCTAGTGCAAAGAAAAGAAATGTCAGTACTTACAAAGGTAGACAGTGAATTAGGCATTGAAAACAACACCTATAAAACAGATGAGCTGGGCATCAAATGCTCCTGTGTACAGACACGTTCCTATGTTCCTGTGGGTCCACATAAGTTGCCAGTGTAGACACAGGCCTTCCCTCTGTAGAGGCACTAAGCTTATATGTGTTAATGTAAGTGGACGAGGAATTGAAAATCTATTCCTCCATGGACAAAATCTTCAAACCTCCCTGTAAACATTTTTCTTAATTTTAAGTATTAACTTTTAGTATTGGGCTTTGTTGTCATGGTATTCACATATTCCTTGTTAATACAGTTTGCAATTGCCTTTCTGTAGTTCACTTGAGGTGAAAGAAGCTCCCTTCAAGAAAACCTTAAAAGCCTGTGGTATCACTTCTCTCACATTAAGGACCTATTCATGTAAGTAAGGCCTTTTGCTCTTTTTTCTGCACGAGCTAAATTCCACTTGGAGTACATTACACAAGCAGGCTTTTGTGTTTAACTTAAGACAAAAATTTTCTGCTTTCTCCTGCATTTAAATCTTGATTTATATCTCCTGAACTTCATTTGATGCCTATAGATTGCCAAAAAAATCATCACCTTATTCTTCTCTGTTTGTTCTACTGCACAGAGCAGCCTGGCTGGCCAGTTCATTGTTTTATTCCTCCTTGTAGTTACAGCACATTTTATTTTCCCATCACATTGAAAGCACAGCACAAAAATAGCTGAAACTTCAAAAAAGAAATTATTTCTACGTCAGTAGTCACTTGTGTGCCGTGGACTTCTGTACCCAGATGACAAATACTACTCTAGGCTCTAAGTGATCATTATTAGTCAATTTTAGAACTAGAGTAAAAGTGCACTAGGAGCAAAGACATCACTAAATACTGAATATAGGACTGTATGCACTGTCCATTATTTACATCATAAAATAATATATCAGAAGCAACATGTGGAGAGTAATTTCTCCAAGTTTAGAGCTCAGCTCAAAGATGGAATACAGACAAATTTTTCACTAGTTTCAAGATAACTAAAAAAATGCCTTCTTCATGCTGCATTTATGAGAAACTCAGACAGATATAATAACTAGCCCCCTGAGCATGCCATAATTTATTAACCTTATACCACCATGATAAACACAATTTATTTCATATTGACTGGAAAAATGAAATCTGTACTTTATTAGGAGATTCAAAACTGAACATCAAAGAGACAGCAATTATAAATACACTCTTGTTCTGGTTATTCCAGGCCACCTTTATGGGAACAAACTTCTATATCAACCACATAAGTGAGAAAAAAAAGTTGGGTTTTCTTAGATTTATCAGCTCAAGAATTCACAAGTAATTAATGCATGTGAATTTGAATAATTAATGTCAATCCATTTTTCCAAAGTCTTGTATTCTTCATTTTGTAGATTACTTCTCTGTCATTCCGGCTCCTGTACGTTACAGTCCTTCCATTCAGATTCATGAACCTGATTCATGAACCTTCAGTCTGTTCATCAGACATCTCCATACAAGCCTGTTTTCAAGGTGTTACAAAGCCTTGTACATCTGTGTTTTTAGCCTCATTCCTGGGAGAGGCAAGTGCACTTACAGCTTTTGTACAAAGCGATTTCCAGTTGAGACAAGTATGGTTTTTAGCAATACTCTTGATGTTCTTTAAAATCAAAGCTAGAAACAAAAGTGAATACATTTTATTGTATTATACCAAAAATGGATCGCGCTCTAGTTATTGATGTATTTCATAACTATATTTCAGAAGTAGCTGATACCAGCTCTAAACAGAAGCAATTGAAGTAGTAGGCAGAATCCAATAGAAATCTAACAAAATAGACACCTGGGAATATCAATGCAACGCTTAAAGCACAAGCACACGGAGAACAGTGGCTGATCCTCCACGCCATGTAATATTCCATGCCCTGTAAGTTGGCAAAATAATCCTTAAAGTTTGTCAGGTCAGTTCAGGAAGGATGTATTCAGTGAGATGTAATTTAATTAATGACCATCACCCATGAGCAGCAGGAGATAAAATTTGTTTCAATATCTTCTTTTCCATTCCTTCTCCAGCACAAGCATGTCCATCATTTTACCAGGCCAAAAAGTAAACGTATCAATGATTGGGCTTTACCTTTTTAGTATCTATTTAATTCAGCCTTCAGAACCTGTACTTTTGTTTCCAAAGTGGTTACTTGTCTCTACAAGTAACTGGGAGTTAAGGCTGTTATTTAGTAATTATATTAATATGACTGCACAACACCTGTTTCCAAGATGCTCTGCTCCCCTGTAATCTGATGCCATGTGAGAGCACTATGTCATTGCCAGAGCAGAAATCACAGGCCACACTGCAGATTTGTTCATGGGAATTTGTCCAACTGGGAGAACTTTATCCCTGACTGAAGTGAACACTTGGATGGGCTTTGAATTCTCAGGGCTGCCAAAGACATCTATTCAGGGGGAAAAGCCCGGTTCCCAAGGGCAAAATGTACATGCAAACATTTTTAAGTGAATTAAAGTCACAGGAAGAAACACACAAACAGGCAAAGAATGAGAGAAGAAAAAATGTTGTTTATAACATGAGATAGAGGTTTTGGTATTCCACTCACAGGCAGCAACAAGCTAGGGACTCATTCCAGGCACTTTGTTCCCCCAGTTATGTTGAGTAACTCATCTCCTGTGTAACAGATGGTTTATTTTTCTGCTCCTCACACTTCTGGAAATCACACCTTTCCTCAAATGATGTTATAGGAATACCAGACACCAACACAATTTTTTTTTTTTTTTGAAAATACACTAGGAGGTTGAAAACCAGATTATAGAAACACGAGAAATTTATTTCTTACTTCCATATTCTCCTTTTTCTCCTTTCTTTCTTTGTGGTCCTAAAGCTCCTTTTATTCCTGGAGGTCCCACTTTTCCAGGGAAACTCTCCACGCCTCTAAATTCTTCTCCTAAATTTTGATTTAAAATAAAATTGTTTAAATGTTTTCCAAGTTTTTCTCCCCCTATGTTTTCTTAAAGCTTAGAGAAAGCACCAAACACTGACTCCTTTCCCCATCCCCCACCCACCACCAGGAAAATAAAGCATCTCCAGTACACTGAATTACTCCCGTGGAAAGCTTCATTTACTAGGGAATGCATTACTTTGATGAAAAAGCCTTTAGTACTCCTACTTATGGCACTGAAAATCCAATGAAGTAAATGCTGTCTCATGTTATTGCAGAGGTACACATGCTCTCAAACCAGAAAGCCAAGATACTTCAGCTGTAATCCAATCACACATCACAGTATATGATCTGGAAAATTAGTTAAGTCTTATGATTAAGGACACCTCTCTCAAGCAGTTTGTTGAAAGGCAGTGCTGGATTTACTTATTTCAACCATGGAATTGCAGAGGGCACACTGAGGGGTACATGGAACAGGAAATACCTATATAGAATATCAACACTCGCCACAGAAATTTTAGGCTATATTTCATAAACAAGTAATATTCATAATGATGAGAGTTTTCTTGGAGGTTGAAAAGCAAGTGTCTAAGCATTCCAAGATGAGCAGTATACATATGATAATGCAGAAAGAATATGATAAGAAAATATACAGTTCCATGTGTACTTACTAGGAGTTTGGGAAGAAACTGATTTGGTAACTTGGGAAAGCGTGTGACTTGGTCCTGCCACGTGACAGAAAGCACTTGCAGAGATCTATTTGCTGTTTGCAGCAGTGCATGAGAAAGGTTGCCTCTGTTGTTGAGGCATAGAGAGAGAGTATGAAGCAATCAAGTTATGACCATCAGATTAGTAACCAACAAGCATGATTTCTGATTTTGAGAGCTGGCCCCTGGAAAGAAAAAGCAGTAATAATTTAGTAGGGTATAACAGGAAGTGATTCAGAGTACAAATGGTACAATCAGATTAAAACCTCATTACTTCTCTATTTTATGGGCTGCTGTGAAAATGTATAGGTTTTTTTTTAATATTATTTATTTTTTTATTAAAAGCCAAGTATCTAGAGTAGCATTATAAATGCAGGAAGCACTTTCAGCTTCCTGAAATTGTGCAGAGCCTAAAAAAGGTTAATGGGGCAGAAAAAAAGGAGAGAAGTAAAAAGACAAAATGAAAAATTGAATGAGGCATGAAACAAGACTAAAGGGATGATAAGGAGTGTCAAAAATACAGTTTTGCTAAATGGTCATAGCTCTATACCTGGTTCTCTCTTTGCACCTTTAGGACCATCTCTGCCTGGTGAGCCATTGACTGCAGGAGCACTGCACTGAATTTCTGCCCAGGAATAAATTTTCTCTTCAGGCTGAACTTGCTACCATCAGCAGCAAAAGCCAAAGGCATTAAAAGGCTGAAAAAGAATCATTGCTAATTCCACAGATCTGCAACAAATCAAGCAAAGAAATTTCATTAATTTCATCATTTTAATAATTTTAAAGGGCTGCCCAGAAAATACACTCCTGTCTTCAGGCAAAAGACCAAACAAGGGACAGTGTCTGAATCATTTCTTGTAGCCTCTGATTGTATCTGTATGATGTTTTGATTTTTTTATTTTTGTAGATCTTAGAAGTAGTTATGTAGTAAATGTAGATTTTAGAGTAGCAGCATATTATCCCTATACCCTTTAACACATCAGCTCAAACCCCTGTTACCCATTCCCATATCAATTCCCTAAATTCCATAGCCTGTTTAGTCTCTTTTTCAAGGTAGAACTGTAGAAGAACATCCTAACCCTACGGAAGAAGATACAGCCATAGACTCAACAATCTCCAGGCCTAGAATTCTGGAAGGCCTCCAAGGACATTACGTGCTCAGAGGACGATGAAGATGAAGAAGAGGGGGTCCCAAAACGCCCCCAGACCCAATTTCCAAGAGGTGTGGCAGGGGCAGAACCTGGGTGGTAGCTGGATGGGATTGGGTGAAAATCATTATAAAAACTGTGACCATCTCAATTTTGCATGCGCTGGGGGTATTCCAGAAAGCCTGGGGGCTCATTAAAACCTTTTGTATCCTTATCTTATCTCCTACCTAACTTGGCTTGGAGTCTTTTTTTTTCCCACAGCCATTTAGGCAACAGTATGTATAGAAACCTGAAAAGAAAGAACCAAGCTTCTAAGAATCTGAAGATCTCAAGGTGTAATGAAAATACCTAATACAGCAACAGTCATCAATGTTGCCATGTTGTAAATTAATTCTAATGTTTTGTTCATTGTATGTCTAAATTTAAAGCATTTATCTTCACACCAAATAAGTTATACAGTGTTTCATTTTGGGTTGAATCCTCATCTCTCCAGTATTTCTGCTTGGACTCTTCAGGGCTATCAGGGTTGCTTTTGTCTAAACTCAAAGTGATTAAGGTGCTTCTCTTGACAGCATCTCCACTGCTAGCAAACACCCAGAGCTTAAAGGACAAAGTGGCAACAACCTGATTGCCTCCCCTATTTCTCTTTTCAGACCTTGTATATTAGTAAGATACTTTCTCCTCAGTATTATACCTCAGAGCTGAAGTCCTTTTGGATCCCAGATCTGCAATACTTTGCTGCCCTCTCTGAGCAGAACAGTAAGACTGTAACCATAAGGGAAGGCTCTGCATGATGTTCTGACAAGCTGATCCACAGTAATCATCCTTGTTTCCAATATGAGTGTTTGAGACAATCACACCCCACGTATTCCATTTTATCTGAAAAAAAACCACCAAAATGAAACTGTGACAAATACGAGTTGAGGAACTTTTACAGTAAATGAGCCACATATTAAAGTCAAATGGCTTCATTTTCTCCCAGTTCTACCAGTCAAAATGAAAAAGAAACTTAGGGAAGCACCATTTGCTTGACAGATTTGGGTAAGGAGAGAAATATAAAATCCAGCATGAATTCTGCTAATCACCTCAATTATTTCTCTTTATTTTAAGCTTCAGAAAAGATTTCCCACAGAAAGCAGCTTCCCCTGTCATGATTCATCTGATAAAGTACAATATGAAGTATAATCACTGGTGTATTACTGTGAGAACATCATAATTAGGATAAAAAGCAGAGTTTAAGAAGCACCATATTTCTATATACCCATTTGTGCTTCCTCCATTAGGCTCCCATCAAAGTCTCAGAAAGTGGCACACACCAAAATAAAATAATGAAGGTATTTAGCTAACTAGCATAACAAACCTTGAATCTTTGTTTATATTTCCTATCCATCTTCATGGACTCCAGCCAGTTCTTAACAGCTCTGTAAAGATTTCCTTCTGCAGAATTTCTATGTTATGTAACTATCCAATATCAGGGAAGTTGACATTGCTGATGTCTCCCATGAAGGTAATAAGACAAACCTCAAAATAATGGCACAATGAAAGAAAACCTGAAAACAAAATGTAATCTCTCAGATAAATCCACTCCCTACAGAGGTTAAACCTCACACAAACCTCTGTTGGCTTTGCCTGCCAGGAGCTAAGATCTATTTACCTACAAAGTTTTCCAGGGTGACCACCCAATTCTTTACTCTAGGAGAGCCAAAGTTCCTGTTTACACTTTGACTAATTGATGGCAGGGTTTCCTAGCAATTCAGTCAGTTTCCAAAGTGACTAATGACAATTGGCACCAACAATGGCTTAGATAAAAAAGCAAAACATTCCAAATTTCTCACAAAAATTGAAAAACTCTTAGGGAACAGAAACAGAAAAAAAATGCAGATTTCTCAGCAGAGATTAGACTTAGGTTTTGAAAGACCACCTGAAACTTACATTTAGCAGTAGCTAGTTCTGGAGGTCCTATTTAAAGGACTAGGAAAACTGATCCTCAGAAGTTGTCTTACATTTACACACAAGGTACTCAGAGACAGAATGCTGTTAAACTGGTAGTTACATCCTTCTAACAGCCCTCTTTCTCAGCCTGCTGTGCCCTGGTGGGGCAGCCTACAAAAGTCTCTTCCAACCATCATGTCTGCACCTGAAAGGCTTGCATGGCCTCAGTACAGTCTAACTCTTTTTACAGCCAAATTATTACAGATCTTATTGCATCTTATTACAAATCTTTGCTTACCAACACCTTTACTTGACCATTACACAGAGAAAGTCTCACTGTACCACTGCCTTGCCTGGCAGCCAGCACAACAGAATGCAGTAGGGAAGAAGTTAAACAGAAACCTGCTGAATTCTTACCATGAGGACAATCCTGTCAAAAGAAAATGATAAATCACCAACATTTCTACCAAAGCTGTTATTTTGTGCTTTGTTTTAGGAAGAGGTTGCTTATTGGCTAATCTCAGTCTTGCACAATCCTGATGATTGCCTACCTCAGCCTCACCACCCTTATTTACAAGGGCTGCATACGACACTGTGGGAGTGAGCCCTTTGCTCTTTGCCTGGCCTTGGGCAGACATTGGCTGTGTTACAGTGCAAACGAACAACTAAAAAATCAGCACAACTGTGGGCACTGAAAGTTTTGACTGTAAGGTTTTTCCCCCTTTCTTCAGGCAATGGATGAGTTTTTTAAGAACCGAGGAGAGGGAAGGATATTTGAGGCTTAATTTCATTGACTGCTTTTCCTGCATCAGAGCTTGCACTGCCCAGCTGGTCACGATACTATTGTTTGGACATGGAAAGTACAGTAACAAGAACACAGTGTGCCAGGTAGCTCTGCAAAATTAATAACATAAAATTTAATGCTGAGGAAGAGATGTTTTAGCAATGTTGCTTGCAAAAAATTTCCTTACCCAGAGGGTGGTCTGGTAGACATCTCCAGCTGCAAAAATTAAAACTCCATTCGTGCAGCAGTGTCAAGATCCCATTTCTGGGGCTATTGTTCTCGGTTGTGGTGGCATCAGAGAGAGCTGTTGTAGGCTATCAGGGTGCCTTGTATCTTTCTTGTTCAGAAGCTAGAATAAATTTGGGGTTTGTAAAAATAAAATGAACATAACAGTTCAGAGCAGTGCTACTTGTCAGACACGATTCGATAAAAACATTGTAGAACCAACATCATTAAAAAAGAGATCTGGAATTAGAGATTTTTTTAAATTATTATTATTAAAGTAAGAAGCTGAAATTTCCACACTGACCTTCCCTATTTTGGCTGAGAAGCAAATGTGGGATTTATACACTGTCAAAAAATTGTATCCAGGGCTCAACTTGTAACCTTGTAACCCACAAAAATGTCTGGTTTCTTGTACGACTGTTCAACTTCCCTGAAGGCTTCTTGCCTGCAAAAGCAGAAGTATGAAGCAGATAGGATTGTCAGCAATTTCTCCACCCCTAGGGTCTCACCAGGTCAGGACACCACCTTACTGAAACATAGTTTATCACACCGTAGAAATTTTACTAAACTCTGGCAAAGCCAGCATGTTTATATGAAGTTCTAAACCTGCAGGACTATTGTTAATGTCTGTATTAAGTGACAAATAAAAATCATTAAGGGCAGATGTCTTAGCATTCACAAACCATTAATTTTTTTCCCCACTAGGTTTGCAATTTCTTTTTCTATCTGCTTATTTCTATACAGCCTTCTCTTCCTCCAAAATTATTTGGTTCTCATCATTCCAAGTTTGCATAGAGTTCCTCACTATTTAGATCTTTGAATGTACATTCTTTCTGCATTTGGAGGAGTGGTCTAATGTCTGCATGGTCTTTGATACATGGTGCAGCTCTCTGCACATTTCCTTGGAGAAGCAAGCAGCTCAGCACAGGAGAACACTTGGCTTTTGAAGTTTCAAACTTGCCTTTGGAGCCATCAGTTTTCAGTATTCTTCACCAACAGCAATATCATATGGGAATAACAGCAGTGGGAACTATATCCAATTATTTTCATCACAACGTAGCAGGGTGACAGCTTCTAGACACTTACAAGGGAATATATGGCTAAAGCAGTGGATAGAAATGCACAGCTAGCTCATTGATTCACTTTGATGTCAGACCAGCAGAGCACTTTTATCCTGAAACCAGGAGTTTACAAAGTGTTTCAAACTTTTCATTGAGACAATTAGAGTCAGGATTAAAGACTTCTGAAGAGCAAAACTCTAGGAATAACCTTGTTTCAGAAAAACCTCAGAGCAGGCATTATGGAGCACCATTCTTAATAGGTGCTCATACAGTGAGTGTAATTAGAGCTCTTAGAAAAATATAAAGTGGAAGCTGTCCTGTGCAGGATCATTTTCTTCTGAATCAGTAGTGATTTATCCCTTGCCTGTGTATCCTACCATGCATCTGTACTTCTGCACAATAAGAAGGATGGAGCAGAGCCGAAGCTCTTTATCTGTTTCTTTTCACTTGCCAGTCTGCCAAAGAGTCTGCAGATGAACAGTTGCCTTCTGTTTTGTTTTCGATCCTGAAATAGTCAAACCCCCATTAGCGATATAATCTTTGGGTGTCCCGTGTCCACTTTGTATATTAAAATCAATATAAAAGTATCAGCTGCTTGTGAGAGCATAGGGAATTTATATAGCGGGACGCAGTAGGAGCAATGCCATAGTAATAACACAGTTTAAAAGGCTGAGGATTATCTTTAAAGAAACTGTAAGAGAGAGAGGCAGACCACACCAAAACCCCCCAAAAACTTGCTTAACTCAGAGGAAGTTCTGTTTGAGATTCAAAACTGACAATTCATACAGGATTCCTCACTCAGGATACTGACTACTAAGAACACATGTACTGAGCTTCTCCTCCTCTTTTGAAAATTTGCTGACTGAGTTTCCTGTCATCTGAGGTAAAAGAGATCTAAGCTTTAAAAGCACGAGATTCTGAAAGAAGATAACATCAGAATGCTATTCTTACCATCCCTAGTCAGGTCTTCTGCCTCACTTACTTGGAAAAGTTTGACTATAAAGTCAAAAAACTTCTGCTTTCACATTCACAGAGATTTAAGGGATCCTACCTAATACAATTGTAATGTATTTGTGTACGGGCCATCTATCACTCAGCAGAAGTTTTTATCCAGCACCAGTTTTCACCCAGCTTTCTGTTTGGCTCCTGCAAAGAATGCATTGCTTACTCCAACTGGAAAACTAAGCACAGTGTAAAGTTTTTGCAAATTTGCACCTTTACATTTGAGAACAGCTACAGTCTTGTCCCAGTATTAGAAGAACAGGGGAGCTAGAGACACAAAGAATATCGCAGGCTTTTGTCTGCTCCAGTACACCTACATACAGAGATAAATTACTGTGCTTCATGATAAAAGCAAGGTCTACACCTTGATATTTACTCAACTGAATCAAAAAAAAAATATACTGGTGCTTATATGTGTGTAGGATGCCAAATTGTTCAGCATTATACTGCTCTGTGCAAGAAGTGGTTAAATCTTGCCATCCAAAAGTAGCAAAACAAAAATAAATGCCGATGTTTAGAGCACATTATCTATTATTGGGCCAATAGGGTCTATAGACTAATGGGGGATTTCTGTCTTTCATTCAGCCTGGAGGAACAGGAAATCTTGCTCTTTTCCTTTGCTTTTCTTTCATCTGCTGTAAATAAAATGTGAACAGAATGGTGTTATTTTCTGTTCAGATGTCTTCAAACACAGGCCATTTCCTAATGCTTAAGGACTCATAAAACACCATGTCTGATTTCCAGCTTTTCACTTCAGCCACAAGTGAGGATGCAGAATGGCAACTTTTGCCAAATTTGTACGAGCTCTTAACACTGACAAGTGATCTGTCAAGTAGAGATTTCTCAAGGGTTTTGACCATGTTACAACAAAAATTTAAGAAGCAAAGGCCTCTACTAGCATGCAACAGCTGATATTCACTTGCAGTTGAAGTTTCAGAAGTTGTAAACACAGTTTGCTTCTCAATTTGAGGGCACATTGAGAAAGGTTTTGTTAAGACTGAGAAGAAAAGAATCCAGATAAGAATTCCATGTAGACATAGTAATACAACAGCGTAGAGTCTGTTCACACTGAATATTTTTTAATATGCACAGCAAAACTTGTGAAGCATGGTGTGGTCACTGAGATTCCCTACCAAGGTTATGGGATCAGTGAAATTCCCACAGCTTTTCATGATTTTTCTCATGTTCCAGCAGAATTTTGCCTTTCTGTTTCTTAATGATTCTAGAAAAGATTCAAAATCATTAGTAGGGTCTTTAGGATCTGCATTTCCACAGCTGATCCAGAAATACTTAATATGGGAAAGAACAGATGCTAACTAAGCAAATGAAAGCACGGCCAATAATAAGGTGGCCTGTAAGTGACCTCTGGTGGACAACAAGAACAGTGTTGAATTGCTTTGCTTTGTATTTTTCAGGAGGGTAGTTTATCCATTTAATTAGCTTACATCCATTCTGTTGAATATTATTTACATTATACAATAATCAAAAACACTTTCCACTTTACCTAGAAGAATTTAATGCCAAAAAAATTGGAAACTAAACTAGGAATGGTAAAGCTTTACATCATAAATTTTAAAAGCATCTGTAACAAGGGACATTCTTTATTGTGTGTTTACCATTAACATCATACCACCAACAAAGTGAAGCTAAGGCAGTCTTTCAAGTGAACTGAAAGGTGAACTCACAAGCAGTTTCAAAGGAAACAGGGTGATCCTTTGAGGCCACGTCAGTCATTCCAAAAAACCATCAGCATTTGCCAGGTTGGGTGAGGTGTTGGAATCTGTTGCTTCCAGCACATGAAGTAGCTGATCACAGCCACTCATACTAAGTCATAAGACTTTATACATCTATTTTTTACAGTAAAGAATATCCCCAAGGACCTTATCCTACTCCCAACTAAATATTTTTAAAGAGATTTGTAAGCTCTGGAATTAATTTTGATCTCATGGCTTGAAGAAGCTTCCAGTGCAGGGTTTTGGGGCCTCTGTTTGCAGAGCGCATGTACAGTCTGACAGACCATAAACTCTGTGCAGATCCCTGTAGGACTGCAAATTCCCTTTTGATAACTGGACTTGCTTTCCCTTGCTACCGCTTCCTAATTTCCACATGGAGCTAAAACTCCAACAGTTTCTCACATGGGTCTAACAATAGACATGGGAGATGGTTTGCTGTACAGAAATAACACACTGAAATTGTTCCCAAGGAAAACCAGTATGTCTTGGCAACAGTTGTCCTGGCAACCAAGTCTCCTCACAGAGGATGATGGCCACTGATCTGTGGAAACCGATCCATGAGTGTTTTTTTCTCAGAGACCTGAGTGGATAGGGAACAGAGTGGCAGAGCCCCCACCATTTGGTTTCCCCCTATCACTTGCAGTGACAGGGAATTCTCACCAGCCAAAGAGGTTAACTGGAATTTTGCCTCTTGAACATAGATCCAGGATGTACTAATTACAAGGCATACTAATAGTCAGCATCTTTTCAGACAGCTTTTTTTTTTTTTTTTTTTTTTTTTTTTTTTTTTTTTTTTTTTTTTTTTTTTTTTTTTTTTTTTTTTTTTTTTTTTT